AGGTGCTGGTCTTTCCCTCATTCTACTGGCACCCACACCCACACCCACACACCCACACACCCACCCACACCCACACACCCACCCACACCCTGAAAAGATGGCTCAAAAACACTCAAGATTAAACATTCATTCAGACTTCGTCTGTTAATACAAATACCAATATAGTCTGTCAAAAAAAAATACAAGAGAAGATGGTGGATACATCAAAATGACAATGAATGTTCTTATCAGAGTACTTTTAGAGTACAACTGTTTGACATTGATTATGTAATTAGAGTTTTGTTGTGTGTTAATCTGCGGATACTTTTTTCTTTTGCTACTGGCAGACACAGACGCAAAATGCGCGTGATGTCATAATCCCATTACACCCAGTATCTGCATTTTCTTCTAAACTAATTCCCAGGTATTCAACGAAGAAATATTCATATTCATATACGATACGATACTGTCAGGGATATCCAACTCGATATCCTAAGCTATAAATATATACCAAAATTTGCCAAATATCAGTCAATTTCGTGTATTACTGCAAGAGTAATGACTTCTCCGATGTAACTAGATGTTATAAAGTTGAGAAATTTGAGTGAAGTTGGTGTATTATCTTGAGGTTAGTGACTTGAGGATGGGTGTGGGTGCCAGTAGAATGAGGGAAAGACCAGCACCTACACTCTCGTCCACAGAAACTCACCTACACTCACCCAAACCCTACATCCACATCCTCAATCGAGTTCTGTGTAATGATTATTTCAAATAAAATATATTTATATAGAAATATCTCGTAGTCATCTATAGCGGATAGTTGTCAAACGAGAATTGTTTAAGAAACAATTCCTTTTGAGTCATAAATTTGACGATAAGTTCTTGTAGAGTATTAATAAACCATAAGTCATGTTGTCTATAGATATTGTGTGCTAGTTCATGACATGTAACTACGAAATAGAAATTGACAATTTCAGATACAATAGCGTTCGAAGAGTTGAAAGCTTGAAGGTAAGCATTAAGATCAACAGCAAAAACTTGTTCGAAATAACGAAGATTGAAAAAAAGTGCCTTTTCATTATTGAATGCTATATAACCTGTAGAACGGAACGAGAAAATAATATAGATAATATGCATAGATATGTACATTTACTTCCGTTGATATCTCGAAACATATTTATTGATTTAATGGAAACTTTAAAAACATAATTGGCAAGACTGGAAAGTATCCATTCAAATTGTTTTGCTTGTTCGATCATTTTATCTGTCACAATGACTTTTTCCTCGACAAAAAATGGTATTGAAAGACGAGAATCATCAAAGCGTATAATGCAACCAGTAGGATTTTTTATACACGAAGTACAGATCTCATATTCTGTATACTTCTGTTCGGGTATTGTTTGCTTGGTGTAAGGTTGACCGTTTAGAATATGGTTTATTCTTCTGTTGACTTCCATGTGATATTTTTTGAAATCCTTAACTGGATCAATTACCACGGAGGTATTCTTGACAGCTTGCTTAAGCTGTGGCTTGTGTTCCATAGATTGTTCTTGATGATTATTATCTTCGGAATTGTTGTGCCTATTGACACTTTCACTTCTATTATCACTAGGATTGGCTCCTATGATCCGCGTTGTTTCTTTGCATCGATCAGACTCAGGAATACTTTCATATTTCTGACTTTCAATGTACGGAACCGTCTCAGTATTAGAAAGTCTCTTGTTTTTAAATGGTGAAGCAAAAATTCTAAAACAAATACGTCAAAATTTAGTTGCACATTGTTCCTATTGACATTTGGAAAATTTTTGTTTCGGGTCTCATTTTTCAGATCTATTTCACACAATACTAAATCACGTTCGCTTTTCAAAAATAGTTTTCCGGTCACCCATCTCGGTGAACTGCATCTTTTTGATAAGATTTTTCTATTCAATAAAACGTTTTCATACTAAATTTACTTTTATTAAGCTTTTTATCAACTTCTAGTCACCATTTTTGAAAACTGAATGTAAACGACAACGATTGACATTCACAGAATGTCGATATAAAATGAATTGAATTTTGGTACATTTTTTTTCCACCGCAAAAGCATTTTTCACGAGGATATAAATTTAGAAAGACTCACTTGTCACTAATTATTCAACTATTTTTAGAGATCTCGAGTATTTTTATTAGTACATTTCTTTTCAGTCTATAAGTATTTATATGGAATATGTGATGTTTTTTACTCATCTAACAGATTGCTTATATTTAATCGATTTATCTGTAAACAATGATTTTCTCACCCAAATATCTTTCGCAATACGTTAGGTTTTTGTGTCTTTATCTTTATTGACAGTGATGGCTGTCGAATGTCGGTTTCTAAATTCATCAGGAATGTTTCATTCAATTGCGGATCTTCAATCAATCCAACGGGAACATTATGTTGCTTGAGTGTCTCCAAGGACAAAGCAAGTTTGATACTTATCGCATCAATCACAGTTTCTGGTGGTTTTTGAAGAACGAATCGAGCGAGTTCGCTGGCAATGTCGATAAAATCAAATTCTCGTAGATCTCTCCGAAAATACAGAATCACCTGATCTTTTTTTGGTGTAAGCGCGCAGGAACTAGTAACATTTGGCTAAAATTCATGCATAGATTAATAAGAATTAACGCGTATTCAAAGTTATCTCACATCAAGGGTAATAGTCTTTTTTGGAAACGTTAATTTGATT